CTGAAACACATTTTGAAAAAAATGTGAATTGTATTCTTCTAAGTCCTAAAACTCTTTAGCAACTTTCTTATTTGAAGTACATGCCAGAAATTTAAAATACAATTATAAATAACAAGGTTTTATAGCATTTTAAGCTGTTATCTATGTAAAATATGTTTTTTTAAGAAGTCATTAATATCAAATTCTTAGCTTTCAAATTGTGAGCTTAATTTCAAACCAGCTACATTTCTTTGAGTAGCTGTGTGTTCATTCAGAAGAAATGAAAAGGGGAAAATAACAGAGGTGCTCAGAACTTACAGACCAGGTTGAGGAGGATGGGGAATTTAATAGTGACGTGTATTTAGTTACTTTCAAAAAGAAATATAATATTCTAAAAACTACCCAAAGTCTAACTCAGATTGCGTTTTGCTGGGTTTAGTGAATTTTATAACTTAATTCCATGATAAGCTAATTTAAAACATATCAATGACTTCACAGTTGCTTTCAGAATATATTAGTCTAAACATAATTGAGTTCAGAACATCAATTCAAATATAAGAGGAAGGGAGAGAGAAAATGAAAACTGGAGAGGGGAGAGGGAGAAGAGAGGCTGTTAAAAATGAAGAAGGGCGTGGGGCCGACTATGATTTCATCCACAATCTCTCTTTTCATATTGGTACAGTCATAGACTATCAGGATTGTTTTTAATGAAATAAGTACTAATTCATAGAACTCTGAGCAAAATTTCAGATTTGAAAGTGTAGATTTAGATCAGTGATGTAATCAACCTTTCTCACTTCCTGGAGGATCTTCTGAAAAGTCAGACAGTAAAGACACTATTCAGCAAATATTACTGTTAGTTCATTTTGGGAGATAAGATTTTGGGTGATTTATGGCTTTCTTTTGAACTTCTCTTTGTACAAATGAAAATTGTCATAATATGTATGCATCAATTTTTGAAAACAATAAAGCCGTTATCATGCCAAACTTTGAAAACTTCCCTTATAAGTTTTCCATTGAAAGTGGTAATACAGTGTGAAAAAGGGAGCTTTTGTTCTGCGATGGAGTGACTATGTAGACAATATACTTACATTATCTACATAATGAGACTTTTTTCTCATTTAAAAAAGAATCTTTGGCTCCTCAGCTAAGCCAGTTTTTTCTGTTGATCTCACCAGAATTATTCTCATGGGTCTAAGAAAATGATGCTTTGGATGAAAGGAAGTATTGGTCCGCTTTTATGTATACATGTACAATTGTCTTTACTAAATGCCTTTTGTAAAAGATGAGCAATTTTTTCGGTCATTGTTGCCAAAACAGTTCTGTCCTCTGTGTGCATTCTGGGATGCTTGGGTCTTCAACACATTGCACACTAGCACTCTCTCCTAAAGTGTTTTCCGCAAAGCATCGGTAGGCCAGGGTACGATTTTTTAAAATACCACTATTTTTTAGAAAGATGCTTTTAGGTTGTATTCTAAGTAACTGTGAAAGGGTTTCACCCTCCATCCGTAATTTACACCCCAGGTCAGTTGTAACTACAGCCGGGAGAGAGCCAGAGCTGACCACGAGCCCCCAGCACACAGTGAGAACCCACCCACCATGTCACGGTACCAACCATCCTGCCGGGTCAGGTTGCTGAAAACAGCGAAATGTAAGGAGATGATCTTTCTTAGAGCACAGAGTAGATGCAGATGGATGGTCCCAATTAAAATTTGTTTTACTGGCAAAGCACCACTCGGATTTAGGAAGTGTGGTGGAAGAGTGTAGAGTGATTTATGATCAGACTAGTCCTGCATTCGGGACCCCACTCTGTCCTAGAGTGAATTACTAATCCTCTCAGCCCGATTTCCTCTTCTACACCGGGGTTTGTCACGCGAGCTTGGGCCAGCAACTGACACACAGCTAATCTTCACCACAGTTTAGGATGATGATGATGTTAACGATGATAGTGGACAAGATCACTGCCTCCCAGCTATACTGCGCTTTATCTATAAAGACAGAACCTTGGGGACAATATCTCAGAATCGGTAAATGGGGACGCACTTCCGGTAACTCAGCATTAGGCAGGGGGTGGTGAGCATGGAGATGGGACGCGCAGGATTTTGGCCAAGGGGCTTCTCACTACTCAGCTGGACACTTGCCACAAGACGCTGGGCAAGTCACCTCACTCCTCTGAGCCTCACAGTGTCTGCGGGTGGGGTGGAAATCTCCAATGGCAAGACGCAAACTTGTAAAAACAAGAGCGTTGTTAAGCTGCACAACCACCGTTACACAGATACTTCATCTTTAGAAAAGTCATCGAGGTCAAAGCTCGGAGCAGATGGCGAAATTGAGAAGTGAGGGGCCTCTGGTGTTCGAGCTGTGTGCCTCGACAGAAGCCTCAGGTGACACCTGGGAAATGAAGATAATAGAGCTCAGGGCAGCCACCAAGTGAAGCACACAGGGAAAGCACCCCATAAACATTAGCATTGTTGCGATCTGTTGGACGACCCATTATTTCTCTCATTCTGTTTTCACTGAGTAGAATGCACTTTGATATTAACTGGTAGTTGGTGGTAGGGGTATAATTCATTCCTTTTGCAGGCACGCTACAAGATTTGTGGTACAGTGCAAGTCATTTCAGTGGAATCTTCAAGGAATCTTCAATCTGTTGCAATTTCTTCATGAAGTATTTAATAATACAACTATTCCCTCTCTAAGCAAAAACCTGTTGCCTCTTAGTACTTCCAACAGAATGTTATCCAAAACCTTGAACTGGCTTCTTTTAATTACTTTCCCAGCTGTCCCTTGATCACCCAGGTCATCATTTGTTTCCCAGACCTCTGCTGGCCTAAGGACTGGGACACACTGAGAATTACTGCACACTAGTGCTGTCAACCCTGGTTACATATTTGACTTACTGGAAGGGCTTTTAGAACAATACCAATACTCAGTTCAATCGAAGGAGGACCTCTTGGGGTGGGGGGCATTCTTTGTGATTTTTGAAGCTTCCCAGATTAATTCTAACATGCAGCCAGGGTTAAGAACAGCTATGTTTGATGATGGAGGACAAAAGTGAAGAAGAGATATTGAAAAATGCTGAACAACAATAAAAAATCTTATTGTAGGTTTAGTTTAGATGTGAAGTTCTCACAGAAGGCAGGGGGAAAAAACCCAAAAATTGTGCTTCTCTTTTGTGCCAATAAACCCACACATTTCATTGTTAATTTTCAAGATAATGGCTTTGTTCTGTCAGACAAAAGGTAATCAATGGTACTGAAGACAACCAAAGACCACTGAGTATAAAAGGTGCTCAGTGATCTTGAATTAATCTTCACAAGTAGCTGGACACTGGAGAGGAACACGATGTCTTTAATGGGCAAGGTATGGTATATTGTGTTAACGTCTCATTATAAATGTCTGTGTATTTTTTAAACCCTAGAGGGAAACTCAACTGAGGCAAAACACGTAGGATTGTGGTGAAAAAAAAAATGTCTGATACCTTATACAACTAAAACTGAAAACTGCCATCTTTTGGTATCTACTTTTGTTAAGAATAGAAGAAATCCCTTATCATGGTTCAATGACTGATTTTTATGTCCAACTAAAGTTGACATTTTAGGAAGCCACAGTTGTCTAGTGTGCATAATTAAGTAACTGCTGGATCAGACACGTAGCAAGATTGAAATGATACCAAGAATTCTCACAGCTGCCTTCCACATTAAACATGGGCCAGTGCACATACCTGTGATTTTCTAAAATTATTATGCCCCCAATTACTGGACATTTCTTATTTACTGACTTTAAGATTTATGGCTCATCCACTTGCTTCCAACAGTTGTACCTTGAATAGATCCACACAATTTTAATGTCATTGCCACCTTATCCAACGAACAGGAGGTGAAGCAAGCATGCTTTCATTCTGATATTGGTGTTTACTTTTTCTTTTAAAAATGCATGGGAGGGAAATTCTACAGAGGCACTCAAGATGAAAAGGAATCCTATTTCTTCTGTGATATAAAATTACCTGGAGAAGATGCCAGGTTTAAAAAAAAAACAAAAACAGCTGCTCTCCAGAGTAGTCTTGGTCTCCAGAGGGGTTACTGCAACTGCAAAGCCCTGCGGCTTACAGCAAACCAGCCTTCTTTGGAATTCTATTTGCTAAATATCAAAAGACATTGCATTTTCCAAGCACCCGAGTTCACTGTACACAATTAATCCTTGTACATCCCTTTTCTCCCCATCATTTCTAACCGAGCAAGGTAAGGAGCAGGATTTTAATGTAACAAAGGAGAGATGGATGTGTGAAGTAGGAGGCTGAATGAAAATGGCTGAAAAGCAAGCCGGGCAAGGCTGGAGGGCGGCCACACCCAGGTCTGATACGGACTGTCTCAAAATCTCTGCCTCAGACCACAGGGCAGCCGCCACGATCCATAGAAGCCCATTATTCATTAATAATAGCTACAAGTTACTCCACCAATAGACAAAACCACCGAGATATTTCAAAGCGAACCATCCTAATAGTGGCTACGCCATCATATTTTCCAGACTTGGAGGGTTAAGTCTACATTTCCATGCTCCTTTGTGTGGCCACAAATAACAAGCCTAAAATGGGTGTGTCCCTCTTAAAACGATGCACCGGGCCCTCGGTTAATGGCTCTGGGTGATGTTTTTTAACCTTTGGGCAGAATTAAATGCAGAGATCCATGGAACAGTAAGAAAGCACTTTAACTCTGGGGGCGAATAAAGATTAAACAAGTGCATAAGGATAAGGCCCAACGAGCTCCGGGAGGAGGCCACGGATGCATTATTTAAAAACGTCAGCATTGCAACAAGAAAACAAAAGGGGAGATGGGGGAGGGAGGTTACCGAGCAAAAGGAAAAACTCAAAAACACCATCCATTTTGGCTTTTGAAATAGCAGGTTTACTCCCCCAACAGAAAGCTCCGGGTACAACGCATGCACTGGTCCCACAGGTGACATTATGCACAATGGGCGAGCCCGGGTCCCGCGGGCATGCACGACTGAAATAAAGAGAATACCCTGACTTTTCCAGTTGCTCCACACACAGTCCATCTTGGTGGAATCGGCAGTGGCCTGCATGGCGCGGGCTCTGGGACTCGCCACGCTGTCCTCCGGGGCGCTGAGCTGGTGGCAGGCGTGGC